TGTCAGTCACTATGGTGGTAAATAAAAATAATCTCACTATGTTGGAGTTTATATATATCCAATGAAGTATCATCATGGAAAAGTTGATTTGGGGGTGGCATGTGTAGACTGTGGCTGTGTGTGTTTTGGTTAAGTCCTTTAATAGTGGTTACTGAGCACCCTTCTGCTCAGATCAGCATAAACATGCCAGGGGGTTGGGCATATTTCTCTCCACACTGAGAGTGAAATGATTCTCTTAATTCAAGGATTAATCTTCCTTCCTTTAAATGACCCATGTGTTTATAAGTCTGTTCCAGATCAAGGAAACAATAATTCATCTAATAGAGACCTGATATAACTCACCAAAGCAAGGTAGCTTTCAAAGTTTTCAAAGGAGAACAGTCACTCATGGATTAGATGGTAGACTGAAGCTTATCACAGATACCTTTTCTACTGTGGACAAAAAAAAATGAGCCCTGTGCAAAGCTTTGTAAACAAATGCATTTATATTCCAAATGTACACCTCTTTGCAAGTTGGTGACTTTCCATTTTCTCCTACAAAGAAGCATCCGCATCCAACTAGAATTTAAGCAGGCTCTGCAAAGTAATTCAATTGCAGCAAATGCACTATTTACAAGCGAGTCAATCCAAGATATGTAATAGTTTTAGACTGAGGTAATTGTTTTATAAAACACACATGTGCAAAGTCATTTCTGTTAGTGGAGGAAAGTTGAAGAATATGAAAGGATATTTTAATATACAAAAATTCAGCAGCTAGAAAATAAATAGAAAAAAGAAAAGAAATAGTATCCCAGAAGCAATGCCCTGTGGTTATCCTATTATTTGGAGACAGAGATATATAACTAAATAAAAAAAAATTCTTTTTCATCTTTACAGGAAGTCTTACAGAGATGTAAAAAATGAATCCCACGGGCCCTCCCTGGTGGCGCAGAGGGTTAAAGCACAGCACAAAGCAGCTTAAGCCACTTCAGCAAGAGTTCTATCCCTGCCTACCCCGGAGGAGATCCACATGGCCTGGCAGACCTCTCCTGACCGCCCGCTGCTCCCCTCAGCAGTGTACTTCGTCAATCTGCCTGTTCTGTACCCCACTCTGTCTCTGATGAATCCTCTCACCCACCGGTGGCATCTCTGGCCTGTACCCCAGTTCTGTATGAATAAATAAATCTTTAAAAAAAAATGAATCCCACGTGGCACCGTATTCATTTTTAAAACTTTTTAACTGAAATGAATAAAATTACGAAGTCGACTTGTTCTAAAATAATCTTGGAGATATGTTGCAATTATAGATGACTAAATTATGAGATCTTAAGAATTTTGCTACCATCTTTGAGAATGCTGATAGACGATGAGAGACTTTGATGCCAATTCCAAGTTTTTGCAATATAAAAGTGATGAAAGTAACTTAATGTATTTAAAATAGCATAAATATCTTTTGTACATAAGAATATCACTTAAAGTAAAATTACTATTAAGTTACTAAATTATAAGTGGAAATGTACAGCACATTTAAAGTGATGTTCATCAAAAGACTTATGTCTTCCCTGATCCAAATTACCCAGCTTTATATATAACTTAAATATCCATTTAAATTTATATTTACATGTTTGTGCAAAGTTAAGACAATTAAGTATGATGGAAAAATTATCTGACTCAAAACAATGTCATTATTTGGAACACCAAACATCCGTCATAATGTATCTTTGCATAATTTTCATGTACTAAATGTAGTCATTTTAATGCAGGGGTATTTGGGATTAACCTAAATTTCATATTTAGTAAATGAACTTACTGCAAGCACAGTGATTTTTTTCCTGTTTAATAGTTAATTTTAAAACTTCCTAAATTTTAAATACTGATTTACAAGTCATTATTGCCACCTGCTGGTTACATTGTTTCATTACACTTTTCTTTAAAAATTACCGATGGGTTGCTAAAAGATTGCATTAGAAATTTCCAGGCTCTTTTTCAAAGAGGCTGTGGTGTGGGACCACAGTGCATTCTGCTGAATTACATAATGCACTATTTTAACTGTTCACTCACAATATAATATGTAGGAAGATACTGATTTGTTATTGTTATTAATAAGTATGTAGCTAAATTATGACTCAAAATTAAGATAATAAAATAATTGGGTAAAAGTAAACCAACTGCTAGAAAAGCACAAAAAAATGAAAACAATCCATGATTCTATTTAAACAAAGTGCCCGTGTTTTCCCTTACATTCACAGTGCATTCCTCTTCTTAGAGAATTTATAATTATTTAGACAACTGTTTTAAGTTTTCTAATAAATCCGTAAGTCATTTTCTTGCTTAAAAATAGAATAGGAGAAATGCACGGGACTATGGTGGTGGCACAGGGGTGATTTGGTGATGGGAAACCCGTGGGGATTACAATTGAGATAAAAAAAAATGTGCAAAATGATGTAAAAATAAACTTTTTAATAAAAAAAAAAATAGAATAGGGCCCTCCCTGGTAGCTCAGTGGGTTAAAGCACTGCATTGAGAAGCTAAAGCCACTTCCGCAGGAGTTCAATCCCTGCCTGCCCCTAAGGTGATACATATGGCTGGCAGACCTCTCCTGACCTGCCCACTGCTCTCCTCAGCAGTATACTTCGTCAGTCTGCCTGTTCTGCTTCCCACTCTTTCTCTGGTGAAGTCTCTCACTGCCCCTGCATCTCTGGCCTGTACCCCAGTTCTGTATGAACAAATAAATAAATCTTGAAAAAAAAAAAAAGAACTAATATATAACTTGTTGACAAATATTCCAGGCCAAAAAAAAAAATACTAACTGGAAATAAAACGCGCTAGTATCCTCTGAATATGGTCAATCCAGAGCATGCGATAAGAACATTTGTTTGCTAGGCATGTACTGGTTTTTAGTACTTTAATGTTACCTCATTCAATCATACCATCTTCAAATTTCAGATTAAAAAAATGCTTTAGTGGCTAACTTATTGACTCAAGTTAACACACTGAGAATCTTCCATATAGGAATCTTTTACAAAAGATTTAGAAAGACACCAGAAACGTAGCTAATCCTCTGTTTATTTATGCATACAGGCCAGAGGTGGAATGTTGGTAGTGGAGGTAAGAGGACTCACCAGAGACAAAGTGGGGAACAAAACAGTCCCATCTACTGAAATACACTGCTGAGGGGAGCAGCAGGGGAGACAAGAGATGTCTGCTGTGCCTTGTGAGTCACCTCCCTAGCTGGGGATCAAATTCCTGTTGCAGTGGTTGTGAAGAGATTCATAAGGCTGTGCTTTTATCCCCTTGAACCACCAGGAAGGACTTAAAATTTAATTTTAAATGATAAAAGTGATCATATTTGTACTTTCAAGGGATAGACTGAGGGTAAGAATATGCTTTATCCTGCCAGGATTTTGAGTGATCCAAAAGAAAAAAGGAATTCCAGGAAACAAGTTGGCCAAAAGGGAAACAATCATATTAACTCAACTATGTTGCAAAAATAGTGTTTAACTACTCATTTTAAAAAGTAGGTGTTTTATTTTGAATTTGTGTACTCATTAACGGTATATTTTTACAAACCACCAAGTATCTTGCTTTTTAAAACTTTGTATTAAAATGACAGAATTTATTAGCCTAAAACTTGGGCAAGTCCTTCTTCCTTGGTTTCTTAATCTATGCAAAGTTATTGTGTGAGTAAAATGAGATAACATTTTAAGGACCCAAAATTGCCAGGAATGTTTGGTATGCTTCTTGAAAAAAAAACTCCCAACCCCCCTAAAATAATAGCATTTATTGAAATTAAGTAAGTGTGAGTGCTTCAGACTTTCAAAGGGCACATTAATTTGGGGGTGGGGAGTTGGAGGGTGATAGAATTCAGAAGTGCCAGGAAGGGGTAAGCTAGGGGATGTTTTTTCATACATCCAAGTAAAGGCGATGGACTCTCACATTGTAGTTCTTCCTGGGTAGCAAGTGGAACAGGTTTTTAGTACTGGTTTTTAGTACTTTAATGTTACCTCATTCAATCGATAAGACAGATTGAAGCAGATTGTTGAAGTCACTGATGAGCAAACCAAGGAGTTTCCTTTTGTTTATGGGCCATGGATTTCCATGAATACTTTTCATTGATGTTGTATCAGCATGTTAACCCGGTCACAATGAAGTCCAGAGCAGACAGAGCAGAAGCGGGCTAAGGAGTTCAATCCCATTTATTATCAAGTGGATGAGAGTGAAACGGTGTGAGATTCAGCGGTAGAGTCTGTGTTTGAAGACACATGATATGTTCTTGGTCCTTGACATGCTTGCCGGGCGCCATGACTTTGTATGTGGTCCTGGTGGGTCTGGTTTAGGAGGTCAGAGGTCTGAGCACCCCACCTACAGGCGGAGGAATTCTGAGCAAATTTGGAGCAGGTGGTTTTCCTGCAAGAAACTTTTACTCAACGCAGTCCTGGAAAAGGAAATCGAATTACCAAGCGAGTATGAATCACCCGCAGTTGTGTTATTTAAACCCAACCGGCAGGGGGCGCGCCCGCCCCAGACTGCCTTGAATCCCGCTGTTGAGGTCATTGCGCTGTATTTGCAGGTGAGCTGTGTCTACGTGCCCGGCGCACTACGGGTGCGCTCCCTCCCCTCGGTCTCTTCCCTTTGGCAACCAGTGGAAATGCAAGGTTTTTGGTAAAATGGGCCCGAACAAGCCTGATCTCCGATCTCGAAGAAAGGCTTTCAAATCGCAGCTTTTTTAGACTTGGCTGTCGTGGGCAAAGATGCCGCTTCAGACAGCGCAGGGCAGCGCTAGGGCCCCGCGCAGGGGCGCTGTGCGTGGGGTGGGGGGCGCACGCGCCGGGTGTGTGGATCGCACGCTCCCCCGCCCCTTCGGCTTTCGCGGTCGCCAAGACGACCGGGAGGCCCGCAACGGCGGCTGGGACCAGTCGTTGAGGCTGCTCGCGGAGCCAGGCCCCAGCTGACCTCGCCCGACTCCTCTGAGCCGGCGCCAGAAAGTGACCCAGTTCCACCCGAACAGGGACTATGAGAAAATGGTCGGGCAAACGAGGAATAAGCTCAAAGAAGCGGCTGCAGAGCCGTTGCCCTCTTCCCGCGCCCCGCAGTCTAGGCGGCGGCGCCGGGCCACGGGAGCCGGGGAGCCGGAGCTGGAGGAGGAGCCGGATAAGGAGGTGGAAAAGCGGGAGCTGCCTTTGCCTTTAGGCGGCGGGAACCTGCCAGGGGGGGCCCGGGAATATTCGCCACGGAGGACCCGAAACCTGAATACTCAGAATTGCTTGCAACTGGAAGTGGTCGAAAGAACCCTCCTCGGCCGCATCCAATTCCAACTCGTCAACTTTTTGGTGGATCAACTCCGCGAGAAGGTGCTCTTGCTGCGGAGAAGTCAGTTCTCAAGAAAGACCACTTTGGGTATAGGTGAGCTGAGCAGACCTGGAGGAGCCCGGGAGCTCTCTTTGCAGGTGCCCTCCCACAAGGCGCCCACCAGTTTAGAGGGCCCCTTAGCGCCTCGGTGTAAACTGGTTTGGGTGAATCTCGAAGGAGATAGTTTAAAAAGCAAGTCTGGTAGCGGTAACGACAAGGTCCAGTCTCTGTAGTGGCTCACAAGAAGTCTCTTTCCCTTTAGTTCTTGTTTTAAGACATCAGTGCATGGTTTTCAGACATAGTGGTCACTTCTATGTCATCAACAAAATCTTCTCAATCGGGCAGTCATTATTACAGCTTGGAAATAGGTTAGGTTGGCTTTTGGGGGACCTTATGTTCCTCCGCACCTTAAAAAAGCCAAACAAAATCTTGGCTCTCCCAACATTAGCTGAGAGCTATTAAAAGTGGAAATAGGGTCAAATTAGACAATATGTCACTCCATGTTAGTATCTGTTTATTTTCGTGTATCTGTGGATCTTCATTGCCTAACGTTAGGTGAATCTTCGGTAAGATATTGAAAGATTTTCCTTCTTTTACAGTCGTCGTTTTCTGTAGCTTAAGAGGTAATTTACATGTTGTTGCTGGTGTAATAAACTGACTACTTATATAAATGGAGACATAAATAAGTGACTCAGTGTGACTTGTGATCTCCATTTAAGTTGAGTCATGTTAAAGTAGAACGAGTCTCCATATTTGGGGTGTTAAGAACTTGAGGAATAAATTAGATGGAAGTTGTATTTACTTTTGTCAGATGTCTACTTTTGGTAACATTCATTCCACATCCAGAAGCAACATGGTCTTGGAAACCAAGTTGCTTTGCCATCCAATGCACCCTTGTCTGGCACCTTGAAGGCACTCCAGTGCTGGGTGAAATAATAACTACATGAAGTGCTGTGAGAGTTCAGAAGGTTGATGTACCACTTTAGGAAAGAAAATGGGAAATTGACATCAGGGAAGAGTTAGGAAAAGTTGGGATTCATATAGTGATGAAAAGGCTAATATTTGGTTTAGTAGAGAAACAGATACTACAGTTTGAGAAAACAATATGGTGGGATAGAGAGTAAGGAAATTTAAAAGGGAAATAAGGCTGAAAGGAAGGTTACAAAGTGTACAAAGGAAGAGGGAGTAGGAAATAAGCTGGGACAGTTGTAACCAGCTATGGAGAATCTAGTTTAGGTTCAGGAACTTGAGCTTCATTTTTGATTCTTTATGTTTAAGAAAAAAAAAATCCAATGAGATGAAATGCATGTAATAAAATTAACTGTTAAAAAAAAAAACAAAACCTCAGTTGCATTTAATATATTCACAGTGTCCCCACTGAATAAATAGCAGGAGATGGCATGATCAGAATTATGCTTCTGAAAGGTTAACTTGACAGCAATATGTAAAGTGGGATGCAGAAGGATTGAGAAAAGAAGCAGAAAGAATAATAGGAGCATTACTACTTGAATCCAAACAATAATGGTCTCATTGAGGGTAGGAATAGAAATGGAGGGGAGAGCATGGAAATGAGATTTGATGGCAGTTGAAAGGAGTAGGCTGTGGTGAGGTAGGACAGGGGGGAGAGGAGGAGGAGTAAGAAAATTCAGGAATAAGGATTATGGATTTGGGAATAATCCATATAAAAGTGAGTTGAAACTATAAATTGAGATTGCCAAGAGCAAAGTGGGTAAAGTAAAGATACTAGGGAAGCCCAATTACACTTTGTAAAGAGAGGAAAACGAAAAGCCAGATAAGCATATAAAAAGTGTTCAGAAAGATAGAATGGGTACAGTTGGTGTATAGCAGATTGCAGAGGAAGAAATCTAAGCATTTGGTCAAATGCTACATAGAGGTTGATAAGCACAAGATGGAAATAAGTCTTTGATGTTGATTAAAAGGTGATTGGTCATTTAAAAAAGTCCTAAGATCTAAAGAAGTTAGCCAAGAAACTTATCAAGGAATGGTAGAAAAAGGAGATAATCTTTCATTGTTTGAGTCTTGTTAATCAAGGGAAAAGTGTTTTCTTAAGGCCTAGGAAAATCAAAGATTAAAGGGAAGGAACAAGAGGAAGGGGTGAAATTGAGGCTACAGGAGAGGAAAACTATTATTTGCATAAAGTCTTGGAATATTTGGGAAGGGTGAAAAGCACACATTTGAGGTGATAACTGGGGGAGAAGAGAGGCACCCTCTTCTGATGTGGTAGGAAATAGAAAAGGCTCGGGATTACTGTACAGAGAAGCTTGAAGTAGGTACAAGAGAAGTTGGGAGTTTTGTGTCAAAATGGCTGTGGTTTCAGTAGAAGTATGAGATTGGCTCACTTACACAGTACAAGAAACACTGTAGTTTGCTGATTGTTGTATAAAACAAACATGAGAGCTGGAGGAAAGAGCCAATGAGGGTTAGGAATGAGGAAAGAAAATTAGAGAATCATGGTTGGGAATTTTCAACAGTGCAGTGGGTTTTTCCTGTTAATTTCCTTGTCAGTTAATTTGAATTTACTTTGTTAGCCCAGTTTAGGATTGTTGTTTTGTTTTGTTTTTTAATTTTTAAGAGGTTAATGCTGGTGGTTGCTAAAATGACTTCAAGAATATGCGATACAATTACAAGTCTTGGAGGGGAGGCAGGACATTGGAAATAGCTAAGTAAATTCACTCCTCTGTAACAGTAATAAAAATAGGTGGAAAATAATTAGAATAACTTTTTCAAAACTTTGGAAATTTAGAGCAATTTAAAGGATATCTGTTCAAGAAAATGTACTGAAACTTTGAGAACATTGGGGTTTATGGTGTTTTCACGTGGTCTCCTCCCATCCTCTCACCCCAGCTTCATAGTACCCTTGACTACAAGCAGCCTCCTATGCCCGAAGGTAGAGTGCATGCAGCTTTGCAGAAAGCCCCTTGCCCAAAGCAGCTTTCTGGTAAAGCCTCATACTGAGGATGTTGACTTGGCTGCTCCAGTTAAGTCGATCAGGCCCGTAGTCTGGAGCTTCTCAAAGCTCCGTGAAAGTCTGAGTTGCTCACAGGAGTTTTCACTATGTTGCTGAGAAAGGACTCCTATGTTTTTGACCATCTTCTGTGTGGCAGGAGAGTCACCTACACTGATTCCTGTTGGTGAAAGTAACTTCTGAAAGGACCCAACAGAAGATAGGGATATTTTTACTACTTTTAAATTTTTATATAAAGAAAGAGTAAGACGAAGTAGAAAATGAGATCATAATACTGAAAATCACAATATCAAAAAATAAGGTCAAAATCATCAATGATATTATCATTCTTTTGCAAATGAGGCATAGAAGTCTTTCAAGTCCGCTTTCCCTTTGCTCAAGTCCCTCCTGCAAAGGTAGGCGTGAGTCACAAGGCGTTGTGTGTCCTTTTGGAAATTTTCCTATGCTTATATGCACACAGTTAGCTAGCCATCTTGTTGGGATTTGCTCTGTCTGGACATAAGGGAATGCACTTAACATGCTTGTTTTAAAGGTATTTTATGAGAAAGGAACTTTTAATGACTTTCTGCTTTCTTTTTTTCTTTTTCTAGCCATCTTTGTGGGATTTTTGCACTGGTAAGATTAGTTTGCTTGAAGTTAATAAATAAAAAATATTTGAATTGAAAATCATCCTTGCATACAATATCAGAACAACTGTTTGCCACATGTTTAGAATATTTGGGTGTACACCAGGTTGAAAAACCTCATGTGAGGTAGCATCCACAAGTGTGTGCTGGTAGGGTGTAACAACTCAGGAATTGAAGAGATTTTGTCTTACCAAGGGACTCTTTATGATATTTCTTATAATATCTAGCTCTTCTAGAATATTTTGCACATTTATTTCATCTAAAATCTCCTTTATAGTAATTTGTCTTTAGTGACATAAGTCTAGAGATAAAGTTTTAGTAATGTTTAGATAGAAATGAAAATAAAGGCCGTCAATAGAGTGAAATGACTGAGCCTGTCAGTGTGTATGCACATACCCCTTACTGACACAAGTATAAAAGGCGTATGTAAAGGAAAATATTTTCTATGACAAATTTCATTTCTATGTGAGCTCAGGGCTTTTTACTGTTGGGGAGTTTAGGATCTGCCCCAGGTCCTGCTGAAACAGCGCTGTCCTGGCCTGTTAGTCCACAGGGGGATTTTGAGCTGTGACTTCGAATAGCCAAAACTCTCATGACTAGAAAGAAAGAGAATGGAGGCATCATTATCCCAAACTTCAAGTTATACTACAAAGCTATAATAATCAAAACTAAGCTGTAATGTCAAAAATACTTTCTACAGTTACTGGTACCTTTGCATGTGGGTCCCACATGGAATGAGGGTGAGAGGAAGTAGAGCTTACTATGGAAGTTTGCTTTATTTTCTGCTTCATTGGAAAGCATCCGCATACATTATGGATCGCATAATTGCTGACAACTTATTTTGCCTGTCACAAATGCCTCTATTTTCATTGTCTACAGCCATAATGTGAATTACACCAACAATATCTTGAAGCACAGTAATGCTGTTCTTTGGCACTTGAAAGTTGATCCCTTATGTGGTACTATGCTTATTTAAATGTGCTTTAATCAAAAGTAATCTAACATTTACACTTTAACATTAATCTAAAGTGATTTTATTTAGAATTATATTCTGAGTGCTTTTTCACAGTTACAGAGGCATTTCACAAACTTGGTATATTATAGTCATTTGTGAAATGTAACAAAAACTTGCCTCTGTTCTGCTTTAGAGGTCTGGAGTGAGAGTAAAGGTAGAGAGATTCATAGTGGGGGTTAGATATATAATGGAGATGAAGAACCAAGGAGTTAAGGAATTTCATATGCAATACTAGATTGTACTATAAATGCATAAAATATACAAATCAGTATGCTAATTATACTATCTCAATATTTATTATAAACATTCTTATTTACTTTTATGGCTTTTTAAGAAACTTTATAACTTAGTTATTTTAGTCCTGGTTTTGTTGAAACATGTTAAAGAGCTTCATTTTTTTCCCCTAGGATACACTTAGTAACACTTTTTGAAAATGATCGTCATTTCTCTCACCTCTCATCTTTGGAACGGGAGATGACTTTTCGCACTGAAATGGTTAGGTTCTTTTTTTCTAACGAATTAATTGTAATTTAAGAATAGTTAAGATTATAAGGTAGAAACTAATTAGGAACTAAAGTGAAATCTTTGGTGAACTGTACTGTTTCTCAAGCTATAATTCCAATTTATTACTTAAATATTAAAGTTTTATGAATTTTAACTTATTTCATCCTCTCCTCTACTTTCCTGTGGCAAACTTCTTAAGATAATAAATTATTGTAACCAAAGAAGGAGAACAAAGAAATAGAGCATTTAAAAAGTGACATGTGGGATCATGTTAGCAGAAATTGCTTTTTCTGCTTCTAGTCAGGAGGCCCCATGTTTTACCTGACTCTTCTAATTTTTTGTTAACCTCTCGTGATTTAAATATAGTCTCTTTTAAGGAACAACATTTGATAGAATTTATTTAATCATTTTTCTGCTCTGTTGCTTTAACCTATAAAGTAGAGGGAATACCAGCTGTCCTACCTATTTCATATCATTATTGTGAAGATTTCATGGGATGACAATAGGTGAGAACAGGACATTAGTGATACCAGGACTGTCCTTCACATCAGCCAGTTGGGGGCAAGTGAAAAACTAAAACTGTCTCTTCTAATGTTGTGGCCACTGCTTTTAAAAAATATGTGATTAAATTAAAATTTTATATTTAAATGCAAAACAGTAGCACAGTTTGCTCTTTTTAAGAAAAAAAAATATTATTTATACATACAGGACTGGGGTACAGGCAAGTGGTGCTGGGGCAGTGAGAAGATTCACCAGAGACAGAGTGGGGAGCAGAACAGGCTGACTGATGAAGCACACTGCTGAGGAGAGCAGCTGGCGGGTCAGGAGAGGTCTGCCACGCCATGTGGTCAGCTCCAGGGCTGGTGGGGATTGAGCTCATGCTGAAGTAGCTTTAGCTCTTAGTGCTGTGCTTTAACCCACTGCCCACTGTGCCACCAGGGGATTAAAGCACAATTTGCTATTTTTTTACTTTGAAGTGTACAATCTGTGGCATTAAATACATTAATATATTTAATCACTATTATCACCATCTATCTCCAGAACTTTTTCATTATCCCTAACAGAAACTTTGTACCTATTAAACACCAACTCCTCATTCTCCTACTCCCAACTCTGATTACCTTCTGTCTCTACAAATTGCCTCTCTAGGTACCTCACCCACTATTTTTTAAATCTCACACCTATGGTGCTCTTCAAATCTTTGAAGACTTGAATGTGTTAGCATTTGTATGGTATTTGAATATTTTGAAGGTGTTATTTCCAAAGAGAGGTTATAAAATACTATTAAAGAGTGCTGAGATGGCAGGGTGTAAGCTGTGGTGACAGATCTCTGATTCAAATAGCAATTCCGTGTTTCTGATTTCTCAATAATCTCCTCTGCTAATTAGAAATAACACCAGCCATATATAGGGTTTTAGTGGAAATGAAGGGAGTTGATGAACAAAGCACGTAGTATAGTATCTGTAACAAAAACTGTAGTTGTCATTAATAAAACATTTCCTATTTCCCTAAATATAGACATGACATTAGATGCCTTTTCATGTGGTATTCCCTTGTTGCCCTTTTCAACAGAAAGGAAGACCCCTTATATGAACTCATATTTTATCATCTGCCATGCCTATAAGGTATGGTCATGCAATGAGGTAAAGATCTTTCAGTCACCAGCTAAAAGATAGCTTCAATTTAGTAGCCACTAGTAGTCTTGCTGAATCTTTGAAAAATAAAGTAATTGTATGAGGCAGGAATGAGTATAGAGTTGAAGATACATTTAATGTTTGTTTATTATGAAATTCTATTATACACATAGTTGCCTTTAATTCACTTTTATTTTATGACGAATCCCTGGGAATTGATGAATCCTTGAATTTTAAACAATATTCTTATAGACCTAATAAAGACATTTTTCATAGAATAACATACACGAACATAATCACTTTTCAGAACATAACATTTGTATCCTGAGCAGTAGTAGTTACTTGACAGTAGCTTTCACTTTGTGCAGAGCTCTTGAAGTGACGTACATTGAAAGTGTGGAGTTCTAGCCAAAGATGCTTGTGATCATTATCTGTCACGTCTTCAGAACTGGGAAAGAAGAAGTAATTTTCTATATGCAATGTTGTGCTCTCTATTTATGCTAGAATTTAGCAGATTTCAACCTTTTGATATCTCATATTATGGGGATAAAGTAGGTATTGGTGGAATTAAAAATATATTGTGTATGTATTTTAAGGCATGACTAGAAAAGTTCCTTAAAAGAATTAGCAGTTTCTGCTAAACATGGAGCTTCCCTATGACCCAGCAATCCCACTCCTAGGTATCTATCCAAAAGACACAAAAACACTGATTGAAAAAGATACTTGTACCCCCATGTTTATTGCTGCTTTATTTACAATTGGAAAAACATGAAAGCAGCCCAAATGCCCAAAAGTAGATGACTGGATTAGAAAGATGTGGTACATATATACAGTGGAATATTACTCAG